AATTTATCTCCTATGACTTAAAATTTGTGATTACAGAAAACCATTTATTTTGTCACTTTTTCTCCATGACATCCATAGATATTTACATATTTTTATTGCTAGTATTATTTTATTTGCACCTTCTCTCTTTTATTCTTGAATCATCCTCTCATGATACACATCTTACATGTCAGTCATTCAAAGACATACTTTTGTCTTTACCAATGCTGTGTATTTTATATTTGTATTTTGTGTAATTTCATTTAGTTTCATTAAGTTTTGATCTTATGAAGTATCAGTATAATAATTTAGTTCTAAGTGTTTTTATATTTCTTTTATGAATTATTGTTTGATCACTTATTTAACAATATATTTACTAATTTATAAAATATGCATTTTTTTGTTTTAGCTTCTTTTAATTTAATGGAAATGTAAAAGAAGTATAATTTCAATATAGATGCATTCATTATAATATGTAATACTTATTTTTCATAGATGTTCCTTATGTAGTTGAAAGACTACAAGTCATTTTGTTGGTTGTGACAGCTTATTTATACATTGTTGTCATTACTGTTATCAATTTTGCTTAAGCTATTAGTTACTGAGGATTATGAAAGCTTTACGCTATAATGAAAATCTGTCTATTTCTTCTTATATTCATTCAGTTTTTTTCAGAAATATTTTAATTACAAGTTCATAAAGCATAGACATTCATATATGTTACATTTTTCTAATTAATTAAACTTTTCCTCAAACAACTGTTTTATTTCCAGCAATTTTTCTTCACTCCAAATCTTTTATGTCTAATATGATGGTAAGATTATATTTAGATTTAGCAATACTTTATTTAGATTGCTTTTCCTGGAAAATATTTTTCATCATTTAAAAATGTCTGCTTGTGCTTTGAATGACATATAATTGGCTATACTTTCTATTTATGCCTGACAGCCTTTAACTAGAGAATTTAATCCATATATATGTATTATAGTAATTCATAATTGATATCTTTAGCTTACTTCTATTTAATGCTTTCTAAATATCCTACATTTTTTATTTTTCTATCCCTTTTTTCCTCTAACTTTTAAATAAATTATTCTTTTTCTCATTTACTATTTCCTATGCATTTGCAGTTTATATAATTTGTTTCAGTTTTTAATGGTTATCTAATACATTTAACATGCATAATTAGCTATTCAAATTGGAGAAAATCAATTGCTTTTTATCCTCTGACTCCACCAACAAATAAGAAACTTTAAAATGCTTCATCAGATAATATGTCTTCTAACTGATATAGTTAGTTGCTCAACATTTTAGTCCCATATGGTTTTCAGTCAAATGACAAACAATATCACTATCATTATTTTGTAAAGCCCATATTGGCTTAGATTTACTTACTTTTTTTTTTTTTTTCTTTCTTTCCTCTTAATTACTTCTTGTATCCCAGATGTTTTCACTGAAACACATTCTATCTGCATTTTAGAATGTTTAGAATTTCTAAACCTTCTAAATTGTTGTTAGCAACTTCCCTGTTTTTGTTCATTTTGTCTGAAAAGTGTTTACACAGCCTCCATTCTAGAAATACTAGTTTTAATACATTTGTAATTCTAATTCAATAATTATATTTTTATCATTTTAAAAATTATTATTTAACTTTCATAAATTATTATTTTGAAGGTATTATCCCACTGCCTTCTTATTTACAGTGCTGCTACTGAAATCTTGCACTTTCAGTACGTTTTCTTCTTTTTTCTCTGACTCCTTATAGGAACTATCCTTGTCTCAGCTGATGGTAGTCTGAAGTTGAATAGACACAGTGTTATGTGTCTTGGTATGGATTTCTTCTCATATATTCTATTTTTTATTCAGAAGACCTAATATATTGGAAGGTTTATATCTTTCCATTCTTCTGCAAAATACATAGATATCTGTTCAAATATTGTCTTTCTCTTATCCACTGACTCTTCTCCCTTTGGAATTCTAACTGGAAAAATATTGGATCATTATATGCTGTGTTTTATGTGCTTTAATCTCTATGTAAAGTGTCTATATATTTAGTGAATTATGGATAGTTTATCCAGAACTTTTTGTCCAGTTCACTAAGAATTTTTGGACTATTTTTAATTTTCTCAAACTATCTATTATATTTAATTTTAATTATGCATTTCATTTCTGCAAGTTTTATATGCATTTTTCTAAATCTGAAGATTTTACATATCTCAATTCTTAATCCTATTTTAACTCCCCATATACTATCTTTAAATATGTCATATATACACAAACACAGTTATGCAAGTGCACACACACGTACATATATATAATTTTGTGTTTTTAATTGTAATTTCTAAAGTCAGTTGTGGGTCCAATTCTTGTGTTGGAAACCTCATCTTCAATGCAGTAGTCTTGAGAGATGAAACCTTTAGAAGGAGATTTGGCCACGAGGGATCTACCCTCATGAATGAATTAATGACATTGGAGTAGTGGGTTCCAAAGTTTAAAAAATGAGTTCAGATGTCCTCTCTTCTCTCTCTTGAGCTTGTATTCTCTTGCTTTTCTGCTTTCTGCCATCTGATGACAGAGGAGGAAGTCCCACACCAGATGTCAGCACCTTGCTATTAGCTTTCACAGCCTCCAGATCTGTGAGAAATAAATTTATTTTCTTTATAAATTAGCTAGTCTGTGGTTTTCTGTTATAGCAACACAAAGCAGACAGACATAATGTCAACTTGTTTTCTTATGCTTTGTACAGTATATGTGTTTTACACCTGCCTCAAATTTCACCTGGATTTTATAAACAAACAAACAAAAATTAAATGCTCGGGGTCACTGGAGTCTATCAAATGTAATTCAGGTGAATGCCAGTTCTAGTGCCACATATTTCTCTCACTTTTCATTTTTATTTATTTATTTTTCCCTCTAATGTTTCTTTAGTTCCTTGTCAGCTCAATACGCATCAACATTTTAAGAGTTGTTTGTGCATATAAGCAATGCATGTATTTCTTTTGCTCTATTTTACTCATTGATTTAAATTTCACCCATTGCTTTCAGTTGTTCATAGCAGGAGAATCAATCAGAGTATATAATCCACCCCAATATTGAAAATAGGGATCACATTTTATTCTTCTACTGATGATACCTTCTTTTATTACTCTGGTAATCAAGGGAGCAATATCATATTAAGGAGCTTTATTTAGCATATTATAATGACCTTCACAGTGGAAGAATTACCTCTTTAACATAGTACCTAGCACATAGAAAATGTCCAATGAAACATTCCATCTCTATTTAGTAATAAATGGATATATACAGTTTAGAATCAAGTACGAAATAAAATACTTGTATTCATTTCATATATCTTTATAGAATATTCCAGGCACATTTTTTTTAAAGATTTCTTCCAGATTCTGAAGAAAGAAAAAATGTACTATACTGGTAATAATAATGTTAGTAATACTGTAATAATGATAAATGATAATTATCATTTCTTACATTTATACAATATTACAAAAACTGAATGAATTATTTTGCAACACTATCTCATTTTCTTTTTTTCTTCTTTTTTGAGATGGAACTTCACTCTTCTTGCCCAAGTTGGAGTGCAGTGGTGCAGTCTTGGCTCACTGCAACCTGCGCCGCCTGAGGGTTCAAGCAGTTCTCCTGCCTCGGCCTTTGAGTAGCTGGGATTACAGGCAGGTGCCAATGTGCCTGGCTAATTTTTGTATTTTTAGTAGAAATGGGGTTTCACCAAGTTGGTCAGGATGGTCTCCAACTCCTGACCTCAGATAATCTGCCAACCTCGGCCTCCCAAAGTGCTGGGATTACAGGCATAAGCTACTGCACCTAGACTCTCATTTGCTTTTCAAAATAAGCTTAAAAAGTTATTTCTTTTATACTTGTCATTTCTGTCTTAGGAAGCAGGCTTAGAGAAATAATGCCGCTTATCCAAGATCACAAGGGTAAAAAGCGGTAATGCTAAAATGTGAACCAGGATATCTATTCCCAAAGCCTGTGATATTTGTCATATCTAATTTATTCAACCAACCTACCTGTCTAGTTTAAACTGAGAATCTTAGTGAATAGGGAACAATGTAGTGCAACATTCCACAGACATAAATTTTCCATTTTAGTATTACCGTATTTTAATTATTAAAATATATTAGATTTAATATATTAATATATTAAAAATATATTAAAAGGTCTACAAAATTAAAGGTAGCCTAAGCCAGGCTAACTAATCTAGTGAAACTTGCAACCACAGTTTTAGTTGGTGGTTCTTGACAAAAATTTAAAACAGATTTTATCTCCTTTATGAGATAAAGTTGATATCTGAATTTTCAAAGTAGGCTAGATATCCTGTAGGCATAGTTATACTAAATTTTACTGCAAAAAGCTATCACAGCTTTTAAACAATTGTTATGTATTAGGTACTATAGATACATTTTCTAATTTAATCTAATGGAAACCCTATGTATCTATATTGAGTTTCAGAGAAGAAAATTATATTATGGAAGTTTGCTCAGCTAACAGCAAACTAACTGAGTGGTCTTAGGTTCAAATACATTAATTTATAAAGTCTACTTTTCTTTATATATATGAGATAGTATTCTTTTTATAATTGTTTTAAAAATTTAATGTTTATGAGTACTATATACACATATATATATAATATACAAACACACACACACACACACACACATATATATATATATATATGAACTACATGAGATATTTTAATACAGGTGTACAAGGTGTAATGACCATATCAGGGTAAATAGGATATCTGTCATCTTAAACATTTATAATTTATTTGTGTTACAAACATTATAATTATACTCTTTTAGTTATTTAAAAATGTATGATAAATTTTTGTTGACTATAGTCACTCTGTTGTGATATCAAATGCTAGATATTTTGCTTAAAAATCCTTATATTACATTTAACTTTATGGATAGTGTATAAAGGTAGTGACGTGAATACAAATGTTTTTTAAGAGCTACTACATATTATGCGCTATAGAGTTGACCCTTGAACAACACAATGGGTAGGGGTACTGATCCCTTGCACAATAAAAACCCAGCATATACCTTTTGACTCCCCAAAATGTAAACTAATCACCTGCAGGTGACCAGAAGCCTTACTAATAACAGCAACTGTCAATTAACATACATTTTGTGTATTATATACATTTATATTCTATATTCCTACAATAAAATAAGCTAGAGAAAAGAAAACGTTATTAAGAAAAATCATAATACTTAACTATTTATTAAGTGAAAGTAGGTCATCATAAAGGACTTCATCCTTTTCCTCAAATTTATAGACTGAATAGTAGGAGGAGGAGGAAGAGGAGAGTTGGTCTTGCTATCTCAGGAGTGGCTGAGGTGGAAAAAAATCTGAATACAAGTGGACCTGCAAACCTGTGTAGCTCACAGGTAACTACATTTTTGCCTGAATTATATCACTTAAGCCTCACAACTATCTTATGAAATATTTATATTATGCACATTTTATGGACAAGGAAACTGAGGTGCTGACATGTGGCATAATGTTCCAAGGTCATACACATCTGAAAAACCTGCAAAACTGAAATATGAAACTAAATTTGGCCTACAAATTTGAAATATTTCTACTTTAGCATCTTCTAGGCACTCAACAATTTAAATTATTAAGAATCTTAAAATAATTGACAAAATCAATACTCAGCCAAACTAATACAGACATCTAAGTTATCATCAAATGATCTATGTTGTGATGATTTCACATTCCAAATAGTTTTTATTTAGTCACATTGGTATTGTTTATATTAGATTATAAACACTGATGATACAGAAAACGCAATTACATAATTAGTTTTAAAGCAACTACAGTGTACTTCAAGAAGTTAAAAAATTTATCATTGTTTGCTTAATTCTTTTTTGATGCTTCTTTGGCTGACAATATTTTATAATTCAGGTATTTGCTGAAATGTCATTTCCTTAGATCATTGTCTTGACTGCCCTGTCTAATAATTACATATTCAACACTCTAACACATTATTTTATTTTATATATTTCTTTTTTATGAATTTTTAATGAATTATTGATCAATAATTTTTATTTATTTTTGTTTGTTTATTTATCTCCTCCCATTGAATCATAAACTATACAGAACCTCTCTGTTTACCATGGATGGTATCTCTAGAATCTGGAACAATGGACATAGTTTGTAAATTTTTGTAGAATGAATAATGTTTAACAGGATTTATGAAGTCCTTTTGAATCCAGTTTTCTTTAAACAATATTTTAAAAATTGAAGAGAAGAATGTGGTTATATGTATGATGATCTGACTTTGCTTACCACAATGCAATGTCTGATTCATCATCACCATGAGTTTTCCTTTGTATTTCTACTTTTTGATTTTTTTGCCCTATCTTTTTGACTTTCTTTCCCTCTATCTTATTTCCTTTTCTTTTCTCCCATCTACTATGTAGAGAGTAGATTTTTCTGAGTCTGGCTGATTATACTTTTTGCCATTTCTAATGCCTAACAGTCAGTGAATTTTGCAAAAGCGGAAATTAAAACAACAAACTCAGTAGCTCAAGGTCAAATATTAATGCTCATCCATATAGTACACACTAGAGATGCAAATAGGGGTATTGAGTTTTTCTGAGAGTATCAGTGTGGAGCTTTTATTGTTTTGTTATTAGGAAGATAAGTCACTGTGAGATCAACCTACACTTTGCATTCATTTTAATAACTTTTCTTATTGTTGCCCAGAAATGTGCATCAGCATAGATTGTAAACTACTGTTCCCTTAATCTTCCATTCAGGAAATGAGTGTGCCTCAATGAAATATTAATACATTTTCCTTTTAGCTTTAAGTGTGGCCTGTTTTTCCTCTTGATTGCAGTTTAAAACAAGAGTCTGTTTATTAAAACAGAAAGTCACATGCAAGTAGGCACTCTGGTGACTAGTAACATGCCATCATTGAATGTGACATAGTTTTAACTGCTGGAGAAGATATAAAGTAGGATAATAAAACCCAATAAATTATAAAACAATATCAGTGTGTATGCTAAGACAAAGTAAATTTAAGGGCAATTCTGCACATGTTAATTATAAATGTAACCTGATTCCTAAACACCGAGAGGTGCTGTGCACAGATATCTCTACATTGACACAAAAACTGCTTCCTTATATAAATAGATTTCCGCAAAAATAATAGTCTTAAGTTTGCATTTACTAATCATATAGACATTCTCATTAACAGGTAAGATGCTTCCGTTAGCAAACCCTCTATACAGGCAGTTGTTCAATGCTTACAATTCACCAAACTCTTTTAAGGGCAAGTTATAGAGTGACAAACCATGCAAGACTTCTGCCCTCATGGAGATTATCTTTTACAGGGGGGAGAGAGACAGTAAACATGAAAACAAAAGTATAACATTTTCAGCCTGCAGTAAGTGCTTTACAAAATGAGTAGATATGATAGGTGCCATTAGAGATACTTTAATTGGGGCAGTCAGGAAAAGCGATGGTGCAGAGGTTACTTTGAGCTGAGATACAAGTCACACAAAGGCAACTATGCAAAACATCGGAGAACTGCCTCTGTAGTGAAGGGGATAAAAGGTACAAAGACAACGATACTTCAAGACTAGAAAGAAGGCACACATAGGTCTGGAATATATTAATGGAAAAGGGAAAATTAATAAGACATAAACCTGGAGACAAAAGTAGTCACCAGGTTATTTTGAGTTTTGTAGGAAAACTATAAGAAATTTGAATTCATTATAATTTGTAAACCAAGATATTGAAATAAGCGTTTTAATAAAAGGAATAATATTATGCTTCTTTTTAAAAAAAAATATCATGTTGTCATTTGGACAGTGGGTTGAATATGATAAACCTGAAAGTAGAGAGACCAGTTAGGACGTTGTATCTGTTTGGCATATGAAAAATAGTGTTGGTCTGGAATGATGGGAAAAAAAGTGTAAATAATGAAGAGTGGTCAGATTTTTGACTTTTCATTTTTTTGATAAAGCAAACAAGAATTATTGGTGGATGGCATGTGTCAAAGAAGAAAGAAAACACTAGTTTTAAAAAGAAATCAGAATACTTGTATTGACAATTAATAATTGTAAAATATAAAAAATTATAAACCTAAGTAATTTAGTAAGGTTTTTAATTTTGTAAGTGATTTTACATTTTATCATGAAACAATAACAAACTTGAGCATTGAAAAAAACGTCAATGATGAGCATTAATTGAAGGTATGTTAAGAAAAAAGACTAATGAAAGGCTTTTAAAAGTACTTTATCATAGGAGAAAAGAGAAGATATTATCTTATGTAGGAATTTCTACCACATACGTAACAGGACTAATTCACAGATGAAATCACTGTCCTTATGATTCATTAAAAAAAGAATGAATATTCACAGATCCTAATGCTTAATGTTTGTATTTTACATTTCTTTTAAGAATTTAAATATCTGTATGTCTCCAGATCTTCTTGAAATTCACCTAAGTAATTTTTTCTATGCTTGTGCAACCAGTATTGCCTAATTTTCATTTCCATTGAATTGTGATCACAATAATTTACTTTTCTGGCATGAGATAGCATTTTATTTTCCCATTAGTATTTACAAGAGGCATATTTTGATTAAAAATTCACCACTTTGCAGCCTGTCTTCTTTTTAAAATTTGATGTTGTTAATCTGCAATTCTTCCCTGAGGTAATTTTTTATTATCACTACAAACTGATATTCAAATAATTTTTTCTTAAATTATGAAGACATATGGTGTTTTCATAAACGGATTGTTGAAAGTATGTTTATCTTTAATGTACAATAAAACACTTTTTTCTATACCTATTTTATTACTTTGTATGTTTAATTATAATAACAAGATTTGGAACAAATTTATCTGTATAGACCTAGATTCATCTAATTATTTTACATAAAGTATTAACATCTCCATGCTAATGTAATGTCAATTATATAAAAAATAAAGGTAGACTATGAGGTCAAAATCTCAAAACCTTTAGAGTAAAACTGATTTACCTTTGATTTTAGAGCAAAACAATATTTATAGACATTTAAAAAATCAGATTAAGCCAATTATCTTTTCTCATATTTCTGTGTGTTGCATCTGTGATACAGCTTGCTTTTAAATCAGTAAAACAGGAAAAGTAACCCGGCTGGTCTATTATAAAGATAGGTCATAACTGTCCAATTTTCTTGGAAATGCAGTGAGAAGATCTAGAGATAATGTATAACAATAAAGCTTAGCCATTATTAAGTATAATAATTAACCTCAAGCTAGAAAATTGCCCCACAAAGGTTGGGCAAACGTAATGCATGGAGATGTGCTTTCATCAAGTAATTGCCGCAGAGTACTTTTGGAGGAAAAGTTTCGTAAATATAAGAGTGGATGAAATACTGCCTGAACTTCTGTATTGTGAATTATTGTTTTAGAGATATTTACAAACTATGCATCTGACAGAAGCCCAATACAGAATTTACAGAGAACTCAACTCAACAGCAACAAGAAAAACAATCTCATTCAAAAGTAGACACAGGACAATTTTTTTTTCAAAAGGATACCTGTAAATGGCCAACAACCATATGAAAAAATGTGCAACATCACTAATCATCAGAGAAATGTAAATTAAAATCACAATGAGATATCATCTTATACCAGTCAGAATGACTATTGTTAAAAACAGAAAAATGTGACTAATTTTGGCTGGATGTGGAGAAGAAAGAATGCTATACACTGTTGGTGAAAGTGTAAATTAGTGTGAAGATTTCTTAATGAAATAAAAACAACTACCATTCACTCGATCCAGCCATCCCCACTACTGGACATCTACCCAAAGGAAAATAAATCATAATATCAAAAAGATATTTGAGCTCATATATTTATTGCAGCATTATTCACAATAGCAAAGCTATGGAATCAACCTAAGTGTCTATCAATGAATGAATGGATAAATAAAATGTAGTATATATACTTGATGAAATTCTATTCAGCCATAAAAACGATTGAAATTATGTTTTTTGCAGCACCCTGGATGGAACTGGAGGCCACTAAGTGAAATAACTCAGAAACAGAAAGTCAGCCCATTTTCTCACTTTTAAGTGGGAACTAAATAATGTGTGCTTATTATAAACACAGTGTGAAATAACAGACATTGGAGACTAAGAAGGATAGGGAAGTTGAGAAAAAGATAGATAATGAGAAATTACTTTGTGGGTACACTGTACATTTTTGGTTGAGGGATACACTAAAAGCCTAGACTTCACCACTATGAAATATATCCCTGTAACAAAATTGCACTTGTACCCTTTAGATGTATACAAATAAAAAGAAAAAGAGACAAAATCTGCTCCAAAATAGCTACCCCCAAAAAATGTTTATTATGCAAATACTGTGTGCCAAATACTATGCCATG